CAACTGTTAGAAAACAGGAAGACCGGAGACTGATTTCGTTGCACAACGATGCAACATTTGTTACTTTAAAATTGCTGCTGCAACTGCTGCATGAACTGACGCCTCGATAACCGTCATAAACGTTGCTTCACGCAACCGATGAAGACCGCAAGTTCACCAGCGCAGCATTATTCAAACAGAGCGAGTGCTTACACGCATACGGGATACTTATTTCGTAAAGCAGATACGAACAAACTAGGAATCGCGCGTAAAGAAAGAGGAAGAGGGATTCGTAGTATTAAAGATATGATGGAATTAATGACGATATCCCTAAGGCAATATCTGGCCATGGCAGTAAACGATAGGATGCTGATGGCTGTTAAGGTTAAGGGCGCGCGCAAACTAAAACATCAAACAGCTGAACGAGCCGAAAATCATCAGAAAAATGTAAGGAACGCCAAGTACAGTGCTCTAAGAATAAGCAGCTTCATCGACAGTATGGTCGCCAACTGGGCGAAGACACAGACATCCACCAGACTTTCAATGGAGTATCAAGACACGCAGCTGGTCACAAACAAGTCCTTCAAACAGTCGTCAAAGACCAAGCACTGAAGAGCAACTCATGAAAAACGAAGCATGAGACTATGACCCATATAATTTCCAGCTCTTAAGCGATCGCGAATCGAAAATATACTGAAAAGCAAAACAACGTTTGAAAGGATAGACCACTAGCATTTGTGCAAGCCATCCGACAAACCAGCAACAAAGCAGTGATGGAAATATGAGCCGCAAGCGCTGAAAGTGACTGAGCCAGTAAACATACTTTGGGAATATTCAATAAGAACTACGAAAGAAACATCGCCTCACTGTTCAGATGTTTTGTTGTTAGACAAAGTGAAAAAGCGGGTCCAAATCAATGAAATAACATGCCCCGGCTGATGGCCACGTTGTTGTTAAGTGGACTGAATAGACAATAAAATATCAACAACTCGGGATGAAACTACGAAAGATCTGGAGAGTAAAGGAAAAATTATACAGAAAAATTAAATCCGATCTAACGAGTTTACTAGCTACTGCTAGCTTTTGATACCGCCGCTAAGATATATAATCCGGCACCTGCAGAGCAGTGAAAATAGACCATAAGCACCTACTAACGTCAGTTTCTATAGATGAAGCGATCAAGGTGGATTAACTGCAGAAGGCGACACTGCTCAGGAGAACCAGGGTTTTATAAGGGATACGACAACAGTACATAGAAGTATATATAACGAAAGGATAGACAGGAGTTATAGAGTGGTGGAGTACACTTAAAACAAGTTACTTATTATGAACAACTTTTTAAGAAAAAAAATGGAAAATGAATATGGAACGGTCAAAAGAATCAAGAATGAAATCGGTTTCATCGTCAGCAACATGCAGATTACAGTGCACAAAGCTGAACAGAAATAATGTAGGAAACGATCACGTGCCTGTCAAATACAAGGAGGAAAGAAGGAAACTGCAGAGGATGAGACACGAGATACTCGAAGTCTAAACCCCGAAGAATAACGTCTAGTTATTCAAACTGAAATTAAATAATCAATTCGACGTCATTCACGAAATGCACGAATAATAAGCATGAGAAGCGGTGGGCACAAAGTTGTAAATAATGATACAACGAAGGCAGTTACAGAAACGGCGGAAAACACCTTCGGAATAAAGATGATGAAGGTCGATCAAAAACTCACGAAGTAAATTTTGGCAATCTTTAAGGAAACATAAAAGAACGTGCATGGCGACTGAACTGAAAACTGCCAGAGGAAACTACTGCAGATAACCAGAGTATAACGAAACTGAATCTACGACTGACGATCAGGAAACGACAAATTTCAGCTCTCAAAGCAGAAGGAAGAACTTTCATCAGGGACAGACAAGAGATTCCAAACAAAATGAAAGATTTCTACAGAAAACTCTACAAAGTTGAAGACAGAAATATCATTGGTGACGATAAAAAAACTGAAGATACAAATAAAGTGGACGAAATTCTAATTACCTTGTCACAAGAATGGTGAAATGCAATAAAAGAGTCAAAGGGAGAAAAGGCTCCTGATGAAGATGGTAAAACGGTGTAACTCGAGAAATCAGTTGTTGAAGTGATAATGAAGAGAATGGTGCGCTTCGTCCATGTTGTCGGAAGGAAGTGAAAATTCCACACGACTGGACTACTATACCGGCGATTCTACTAGACGAAAGCGAGACAGAGCCAATCAATTTATTACCAACAACCAGCCAAGCAACCGTCTGCAAGCTTTTCACCACTACTGACCAAAAGACTTCAAGAAACACTGAACATTATAGAGTCAAATGAAGAAACTGGATTCAAAAATGTATTCAGTACGATTAATCATCTTCAGGCAGTACAACAAATAAATAATTCAGATAATAAGCGAATATTAAATTCCAATCTGCCTGAAGTTCTCAATTTTGAAAAGGCTTTCGACTTAGTCTCATCCGTTCTTTACTGCAATCCCTGATGAGCAAGGAAATCGAAAAAAAGATACAGAAACGTCATCGACATCATTTACAAGAATGCAACCACTAATGTGAAGCTTCACGAGAGCGTGAGAAAGTGCAAAATTGAAAACAGCGTTCGACGCAGTATCATTGAAGTTGCTCGCAACAGCCATAGAAAGGGTTTTCAAGACATTCCATTGAGAAAATCACACGATGATGAAGAATGGGCACTACTTAAGCCACCTGCGGTTTGCAGCCTACACTATGATCATCTCAAGTTATATTATGAAAAATTGCAAAGAAGAATCCAACACCTGAATGAAGTCAGCATCAAAGTGGGACTAAAAATTAATTTGAAGAAGTCTTAGGTTATGTTGAACAAATATGACACCGTGCGATATATATATCTTAGAATGCAGCTTGTTCTTTTTCTGGTCCAGTGATGGTCCACTGCTCTTGCGATGTCATTGTCTAAGGGAAGAAGTTAAAATGACAATTTGCAAGGCACATCGCAAGAGCAGTGGACCATCAGAGCAATATACATATTCTGATAACTATGGCCAATGCTATTGTCGAAGAGAATAACATGATGAATGATGCGTCTAGCACTGTGTGTGCAAGCCTGTGGAGCCATGGTCTGCCTACCCTGTCCTAAGGCAATTAGGATAAAAAAAATCGTGCAATGCGCCAACCTTGGAGAAATTGTTCCGGTGACGGTAGCATAGCGGGTTGCAGTGCAACGAGCTATGGTGATAATCACCAGCGTTTATCGATTTACTGCCGGATGAGGGCCCCTCCAAGATTCTGTCCTCTACTTGTCGAATTTGCATTCACAAATTTCCTCAGCTCATCCAGCAACCGATGTGAAGGTTTTTCCGCCGGTCGTTTAGTAATTTTGGAACTCAGTCTGACGTGTCGTTGGTCCAACGATGGTCGGTTCGTCTCGCAATGCGTCCTTCCCGTTGTCACTGGATTTCAGGAATAAAGCGTTCGAATTCCATACGTGCAATGGGAAGATTTCACTTAAAAACTGCTAATTCCAATTAGTAACAAATTCTTCCACTGTGCTTGCGAACAATAGGAACAGCAAGATATGTTGTAATCATACCTTTCGTATCATCGGTGAGGTATTACCATATCATCTAATGCGACCACTTACGATAGAAATTTTCCTTTACTTGCATGACAACATACTACCGTGTAACAATCAGCGCAAGGCGCAGAACAAAGCTCTATTCGTCCGTTACAGACGAGACTCTTAAACGTATAATTCACCTTGCACTGAAGTATATCCGTCAGACATGTACCTAAACTTGAATAGCAGTTAGTTATCGGGTAAGCCGTAGGTCTATGCTGTCCAAATGAATGTTGCACTTAACGCTATTCTGTTTTACGAACAACAACCAGCGTGAGGTATTCAACCACGGTACCATAGGCGATGCCCCGAAAAATGGAACGGAACAAAAGATGAACAAAGTACGATACAGATTCATTTCTACACCTTACAACTGAAAGCCAAGTCATATACGATACTAACATTAATCCTAGGACGTAAATATTGACGCAACAGCCATGCAGGCAAACCACCCCCAGAAATGGTCATTGATTAGCAATTTACAGTAGGAACCCTCAGGTACTATTGCTATCTTCGATCGGTTTCTATTCAAGGGCCGAAATTTCGACCACGGTAGATATGCGTGGGATCAGTCGGGCGTGTAAGTGTTTGTGCTCGATGGTATTTTCTCGTGAAGACGGTTGAATTTTCGCCGAAGCGTTGTGCTCCGTTGCCAGTTCTTATGTTTCTCTGCGCTGTCGATCGAGGCACGGTTTAAACAGGATGCTCTGTAGGAAACCAAGCCTTTAGCGTTTTTTCGCTCCAGCCATTGACCTCGGACAGTGCTCAGTTTCGGTTGTGTCACGTGAAGTGTTTAGTCGTGGTGCTTTCGAAAGTTTTTTTCTGCGTTGCAGGTGGCAAGTTTTTGATTGCTGTATGATTAGTCGAATCGGAGTTACACCGTGTGTTGATAATTAATTACAACGCATATTCAGCTTAGATGGTCAAGACAAAGTGCAGCTACAAGGAGCGCTCGCCTCGGACAGCATGGCGGCTAATTACTTGGTCTGTTCTTGCGTGACTAGGCCAGAATGCCATGCTGTCGCTGATATTCGTGAGTGAACGCTTTGCTACCCATTTCTCGACCGTTTGCACCGAAGCAGCGCTGGGTTACTTCCTTGTGCTGAAAGGAATTCGCGGTTAAGGCAGATGTTGTCCCTTCGGCGAATTTGAACCCTGCACCTAAAGTTCAAAGCCGGCCTTTTTTTATCACTTGCCACCAGCCCCAATTAGAGATACCTGGTTATGTGAATGAAGTGTTACGTT